GTAATCACTCAGATGTAATATCCGGTGCGTCATGATGAGGTCAACCCTCAGCGGACGATAAGCTAGGGTGTACAGCCCTAGTTTCTTACATCGGTCTTCGTATGGCATACCTCGTAAGTTGGGAATCAGCCTGGGTGGATACATGCTGCACTCGTTCAAGCTTTTATACCTCGCCCAGGGTGATGGGACACTACGCGGGATAGCCATTACTCTAGCATTGGTCGTATTATCGAGACGAAGTGGCGAATAGCAATCTCTTCGGACCAAGTGCTGAAGCTGCGCCTGAGCGCCCAAATCATCCGTAGGCTGTTTTGGTACAGCCTATTCGTGTTGTCAAAGGACTTTAGGTCGCAGCGGAGAGCACACCGAGGCCGCGCACAAAAGGCGCGGGATGCAACGGTTGACCAGCCACTGTGTACGTTCGGCTGTGCTCACACTTACCCATCCTCATAAATTTCGACTTGGCAGGGTTGATCGGAAGGTTAACCTCTGCAGACCATGTCGAGAGGCGGTCGAGGTCCCGCTGAAGTAAATCACAATCATTGAGTGTGCGGATTACTTTCCACACCTTCAAGTCATCTGCGAACAACGCACAAGGTGATTGGAGTAGCTGAGGCACATCGTTTACATGGATCAGAAACGATATCGGTCCCAGTACAGTGCCTTGGGGCACGCCGCTGCTTGATGGATACCAGTTAGTTACATGGTTGTCCACCTGGGCCCTCCACTTTCAATCAACAAGGAAATTTTTGATCTATTTGTGCAGCGAACCACCAACACCGCACATCCTCAGCCTGTCAAGGAGCACTGCATGGTTAACCTTGTCAAAAGCCTTACTGAAGTCAATGTAAATGACGTCGACCGATTGGCCTCGGTTCAGCGCTTGTAACCATTCGTGCCTCGTCAACAGTAGGTTGGTGATGCACGAGCGACCTTTCATGAAACCATGCTGTGCGGGGGTCAACAGGCTTTTCGACTCGAGAAGCTGCAGTAGGCTCTTCTTCACGATCTCCTCGAGCGTCTTTGCCAAAACAGCGGTCAGGCAGATCGGCCGGTAGTTATCCACTTTGCTTGGGTTACTACCTTTCGGTATGGGCTTTACGACTGAGCATTTCCAGTCGCCCGGTAACAGTCCAGTGGATAGTGACCTGTTACACACTTCAGTTACAGAAGGCGTGATGATGGCCGATAGGGACTTGAGAATCAGTGGGTGTATACCATCTGGCCCAGCAGGCTTCGTCCCGTCAAGATTTGCTAGGAGCTTGCGTACATCCTCAATATTGCAGTCCAGGCTGTTAAGTTCGGCTAGAGCGGTATTCATCGAACTCGTTACAGACACCTGATCACTTGCAAATACGGAGGCGTAATGCGCCGCCAATTTGGACGCACGATTTGCACTCGAGGTCATGGGCTGTCCTTCTGAGCTTTCTAACACTGGGATATTGGCTACAGGCTTCAGGCGCCGCTTCACGTATGCGAAGATCCTCTTGGAAGCAGTAATTGTCCCAAAAAGGCGATTGAGTTTCCAGAAGCGTTCCGAGCAATACGTTTTATAACGCAGTACTCTGGTTTATCAATGCTTTTCCAAGTCCATTATGAAAGGATTGTTATGTCGGAAGCAAGTTTGAGAACGTTAAATGTTTGGTTGCTGTTTGGGAGATCGTCAGTGGTTATAAGACCAGAAAGTAACAATGGGCTCACTGGACGACGGTTTCTGGGACGCCGCCTCAGGGATTCCCTCGTGAGCGCACTGTGACTAAGCAGATGGTAGCTGTGCTCGTGACCGAGACCGGGTTCTATGGTTTTACTGTACCGCTCGTATGGTGACGCAGTCACCCGAGACTGGTATGCCACCCACTGTCTGCCACAAGGGTTGGAAGCTGTTGTCAGGGTGTCGTCCGAGGATTCGAGCATGAGGGACCTTGCAGCACCTTGACAACACACCCGCACACAGGGTCCCATGTCGTCGTAGGAGAACGCATCCAGTAGGTTGGGTCAACTGCCTACAGTCCATATCTGGCTCCGTATGCCATTTGTATTCCCAAATGTCAAGCGCATGGTGGCGTGGAATCCGCTACGCGTCTCCAGAATCTGCAGTAGAGGCCTTTATGGAGTTACCCGAAGTCTCGCCCACTTCGGCGTGGTCTAGCTGCTTCTCTAAATGGTTTTCAACGTATGGAATTGTGCCTGAGCGCTGGTGGAGGAGTACTTCGAGAAAGTATAATGACTATTTTATTCTACAGACTAAAACTTTTTGCATCCGGAAACTTATTGTTCTGCCCCTGTACTTAAATTTGCGGACGACTTCTAACTGATCCTCACCAAGAGTCGCCGCAGGATTGGGTTCCTGTCAATCTTGGAGGACTTTGCATTTCGATGGTGCGAAGCGTAGCCCGAAACGACTGACAACTAGAGCTAATTTATCAAATCTCACTGCACTTTTGTGAGTCATCACAGATGAGCGCAATGTCGTCGACATACTCCAAGTCGAGAAGTCATTCACCTGATAGCAGCTCCACACCTTCTAAGTCTTGACCGGCAACCGCTGTTTCCATGCTCTCGTCAATGGCGAAGTTAAAGAGAAAAGATAACAACGGGCAACCCTGTCTCACGTTCGATTTCTGTGTGTGTGGGCGGATCCAAGGAGACGGCCCAGGGAGAAGAGCACTCAATACCCGAAAAAGAAAGTGACAACTCAGACTGGTTAAACTGCCTTGCAACGTGTTCGGCCCAACGCTCCAAGCATTTTGACAAGTTTTGTATCGGCTGTCCACTCTCCTCGCATATGTTCTCGCTAACACCAGGTCTCCTGCTGCCTGTTTTTTGCATCAGATGGAATAACACACCAACGGCAACGACCACTTCCATGTTCGATGCACGATAAGACCACCAAGCTTCACGGTCTCTTTTCATGCTAGCACGCAGTTTCGCCCCGAGTTCTTTGTGATGTTCGTCGTGCTTGCTCCAACCATGAATATGTCGGCGAACATTTAGATTTTCTAGAGACTGCATGAAGTCCGAATGTCTATGTTGACATTTTGATTTGCCACCTGAAGACATGTCTGCTACTTATAACGGATTTGAGAAAAGTGATCCTCAACTGTGTAAAATGAGCGCTTACTTTGCATGGATGCCAGCGTATTTTGTTACGCATTCAGAACACCTGACTTTGCTAGTCGATTGTTGTGTATTAGCACACAGCGTCGTTGGGGGCGTCCTCCTAGTCGAACGTGGAGATCGGTACATAAAAGTGCGTGATCGGGGCGCACGCTCGTGCTCCAACTCCAGTGACAGTTTTTAACACATCTTCTCCAGCGGTAACTGATCGCAATGTGATCGATTTGCGTCCATGGCTGATCCGAGGCTGGTGGGCAGCACGTGTATTGATGATAATGGTGAATTTTCACTGCGATACCTTAGTCGAACAAACTGTTTCTTTCTGACGGATCGACTTTTGGAACAGCTCGATGGAGCGTTAGGCGTATTAATGTCACGAGGGTTGTGCATCCCATCTCACTCCAGAACGAGTAGCAACTCCCCCCTCCCCCACCCGGATCAGGCGATCATCGTGGTTGCCTCGTGCGACTATTCGCATTCTGACCATTGGTATCAAGGGTATCCTGTCCTGACATAGCAATCGGTGCTCAAAGTTCAGCGCATACTAGTCATTCATGTATGCAACTCGAACGATGCGAATGCATGCAACCCATGCTTCCATAGCCCCCACCTCGTTATTCACCTTACCCGTGCGAGACCGACATGATTGACCAAAACATATACTCCTGTACTAGTGTCCTGTCTGCGTGACCTACGAGAAAGTTAACTGAAGTGTTTGAACCTATTGCACGGACATATTATTGACGCGTATAGGTCAATGTTCAAAACGTAAAATCACCACAGTTATGCACCGGTTGTCCTGTACCTGGTCTACTTTATCGTACCGTTCAACCTCTTCATGTGTTCTCTCACGGGATACCGCTTGTCTGCTACAAATTTGACCCAATTCGATGCATTGTAAGCGCACAGGTGAACATGTGCAGAGGGGATTAATCAGGTTGTAGAATGCACATATGTGAATGTGACTTTAATCGCTCATTTGTTCGCTAAGCTTGGTACTTTCGTTGCATTCGTTTTACCACCTGCGAGGTGGTGTCATCAGTACGCTGATATCAGCGCAACAGTGCGATGCCACCTCACATGGGGGCGTAACGTATGCAATCAAAATTCCAATCTCGACGAATAAATGAGCAATTGCATCGTCAACCTGAGCTACCAGTGTTACCGGCTGCATATCGTCTGATTGCATGCCTACCTTCACAATGGTATACGGGATCTGTTGAAGTCCTGGCCGGAGTCTCACAATATCTGCTCACCCAAGCCTCCGTTCACACAACGCATGCTTTAAAACGACTCCTCCAGTGCACCTTATGATACTTGCTGAAATGGTACCTTTGATCCCCAACAACCTGGGTAAGCTAGTCAGTCAGAGCGACGTTGTTCATATCTCTATTGATTCAGGAAAGATAACAGTCTGCAGTGATACATGCAGTCCCGTCTCTGGTTAAGCGAGTGGCGTACCCTTTGCCAGGTCATGTACTACACTTACCTCCGTCTTATAGAGGATAAATACTCCGTTTCAGCATCGGTTCCTGGGCGAGATGAATCACTGAATCACTTGCTGACCCATGGGCATAAATTGTGGACCGCAGTCCACATAACACGTTGCCGAAGTGTGCAGTTTCGCGAACCGAACTATGACACCTAATGGGAACTTATGTGAGTACGAGATAAGGAAACGATAAAGCTCTGAAAAGTATTTGGATTTAGATCAACTCTGTCTAGTCTAATCGAAAGGAGAGAGAAAATACGATGTGCGTAGTATCCTTTCATCCCTACTGCATGCTCTGGATGATACCTTCAGGATGGGATGTCCGTCAGTGCTAATTACCAATTATTTGCTTTTAACGCTCTTTATTTGTGACGCATCTTTGCATTTTCAGGGCTAACTCTTGTGGCGTATTGTGCGAACAACGCTCCGTGTTTCGAGTCAACTGCCTCGACTGTTTGGATCGCACCAATTTGGTGCAATGCCTCTTCGCAAGTGTCGTCATGGTCACGCAAGTGAGCTTTACTCTTCAACTAGCCATACACGCATATACGTCTTTCACATTGACATGTCACTACGCAATTTTGTCCGGACTAGGTCGCCGTCACCTCGGTCGTTTGAACTGTGCTTATCGAAAGTCTCCCGTCTTCCTTTACTCTCTCCGAGTTTTCATAAGTGTCTGTCGCATTTACCGCTACTCATCGAGTCACTGGCTCCACGCTCAGCCACCTGGCTACCTGGCCATACAAAGCAACACCGAATACACCCCTACTTTTCTTCTCTGTTGCTCCAGACCTATTTCCCAAAGCATGTGACGGTTGGGTCCTAGTTGTTTCGACTTTCGGTTAGAACGAACGAAACACTCTTCGCCTACAGTACCTTGCGCGTAGGGTAGCCAACTAAATCCGGATTGCCACAACCCAAGGGACCTGGCTGCCAGACGTGTATGGACATGAGCTAAGACTGAAGACGAAACGCGTAACCTCGCACACTTGCACTGAAACTTAAAAGGAGAAACACTGGCTTATAGCAATAGCTCGTCTATGGAAATTGGGTGCTGCCTGCTCGAAAACACTGCATTCCACCACGCGTTTCGATCTTGTTTGATCTCGTCAGGCCGAAATATCAGGCATCGAACCCGGGATCATTTGGATGTTAGCCACCTGGTCACAACGGTCTCTCTGTGTATTTATACGCCACTTTCATTCACTGTGCATTCATGATGCTCACCAGGAAGATACTCTGCCTTCCATTCGACATCTTTCCTATGCATGTTCTGACCACAATACCGATTGATTTTGACAAGTAACGCATACTACTTCACGTTTTGAACCAATGGGTTTACTCTTGCACCACACCGCGCACAGCTGGGGTCTGGTTCCAGCCGACCCAGCAATTTCCCATATCAGGTTGACCGCTGCACATGCCTGCAGTTGACTCGTGAGTTGAGAGGATCCACTAGCACACCGGATAGCCGAATAATCTTAATTTACTTCCTCAGCCATAGCTCAATCATGTCCACTCTGTTTTCATATATGTGGCTCAGTAGTATAGCAGCATAGTATATATACTGTGGGGGTGGGTGAATGTCTGTTCGGCACATGAGTTGTCAAGTAATGCCAGTGTCCTTAGGAAAACTCACTTGATGTCAGTACAAGCTAAGACAGCAGACACAACATCGACGCGGAGGCGAACTCAAGTGTATTCTGCGCATTTTGCGTTGGCACATTACATTGGTTCCAGTGAAGAGAGCTCCGCTGTCACTAGCATATTTTGAGTCGCCGCCTGTCGACAGTATTGCTGAGGCGAGCTGTGCGTAAGTTACCGCTAGCTTTGCGAACTCCGAAGTAGTAATTACCAGCATTTCGTCTCATCTAAGTCGGAATAGAAAATTTTGCGAATGCCGGAAAGCCAAAGTGTTTATAGGTGAAAATTTGCTTTTTTGCGCGAGACCATCACTTTCCACACAACCTTCTCCTATTCCACCGAAATTGACGGTCAACGCAATAGCCTGGGTTAGTTGTGACATTTTCATGTGTCAAAAGTATTCCTGTTCGTCACTAGCTATCAGTGTTCACGCGCTCCTTTTAAGATGGGGGTAAATAACATCTTATTTTGGGGCTACGTCTGTTATGACTTTTTCTTCAAACTTCAACCATCCCCTGCATCGGCCGTCGCGCAGATTATCAAGGGTCGCCTAATGTGCGACATACAGCAGGGCGGATAAGCGGAAACAAGCTACTGTTAGCGCTTCTTTTTTTCCTTTCCACCGGTTTCTTACTCCCTCACAACCCCCATTACTAACATACGTTCTATAATTTCCAGCTTAATTGACAGCAGCTACTGGAATCGAACTAACTGCGACTATTTTACTGCACCACCCACAGTCCCGTTTCCCTGGCGGCGTTCAACGTTCGCACTCTAAGACAAATAGGTCAACAGGCTGCACTCACACGCACGTTGGAAACACTGGGTATTGAGGTGGATTGTGTGTCCGAAACCAGAATCAATGACCACAATGTTGCATTAACTGCGCCCGGTTTGTTCTCTCGCTATTAGTTGCACGCATCCGGAGACGCTGATGTGGCAATCACTGTTGAAACTAGGGTGGGCATTGTTCTCAGCTCCAGGGCTGAGTCTTCGTTGGTTGATTGTATTTCCATGAGCAGCCGTTTGTGTACTGCTCGTTTGACGACATCAATTAAGGTTGATTCACTGAGTAGCACTAGATGGTGTTTGCCTGTGGTTTCCTCTTATCCTCCCACCGACTGCGCTTCTGAGGCAGCCAAGGACATATTCTACTACGAACTGAACACGCTACTACGAGTGCTGTCAGTTCATATAGCATAGTACTTGGCAGGAAGGCATTAGCAGGACGCCGGTACGCTGTACCGACACTTCGCTACCGCGCAGCCACCACTAGTCGCACGTCGGCTAGCTTGTTAGCTTTAGGCCACAGGCCGGCGATAGTACTTGCAAAGAACACGAATGCACAAGCTGGTCGCCTGGGCTCTTCAGATGCTCAGCTGGGTGGTAATTATAGATTAAACTTCGAACGGGCGTCTGTTGCAAGTGTGTGTGGAGCACTAAGTCTTTCTTAGTGGCACCGGTTTTACACACAGTAGGCGCCAAAATGCCACTTGGCGACCTCCTGTAGCTGGACACCGAGGGACCCAAATTGATCACATTGCCATAAGCTACAATTGGCGTGCTTCCATTCTGGACTGTCGCTCGTTCTGAAATACCTGCGTCGACTCTGATCATGCCTTGGTACGTTGTCGTTTTTTCATGGACTTTACCGGGAGGCGCACCAAGCGTCTCCTCCGATTGGCAACTGGGGAATTATCTCAGCCCTCCTTCAGGCAGGCCTACTAGGATGCACTGCGCACCGGACATTCTGTCTCTTATCCTAATGTCACTGAGCTTCAGTGGGCTGATGCAAACTTGACATTTAGTCTACCCCCTGTGTATCCGCTCCATTGGCAACAGTATTGTGTGTTACCTTTTTTATCAAACCGCTGCAAAAACGCATTTTCGCGTAACCCTAATGGTTGCAGTGGGATGTTGAGGTGGTGGTGCTAGTGGGGTCCACCATTATCTTAAGAGCTTCACCTAGACCCATTTGTTTGGGAGAGATTAGTCGGCGAAGCAGGCTGTTTTCCCTATTGTTCTTCCAGCAGAGGTTGTACCTCCACGTGACCGTCAGCTTTGTATATGATATGGACGATTCCTGTCCGTTCATTTACCTCTGTGTTGAGCAACCACCAGAACGAACACTAGGGTTCATTGCCATTCTGTGACGTCACTATCATCATTCCACGCCTCGGCTGGAAGTGAGAAACACATCGGCTACTATGTCGCAATATACTTCAATCAGATGGTAATAGCAGAACAATGAAATATAGCAAAACTCGATGAAACTAGCCTTCAGTTCCACATCTTGTCAGTTCTCGAACAGTTTTTCAGGCACCATACGCAGTGACAATCGATGAGAACAAGTGCCGCCCAGCTTCCTCCCTAATACTACTGTTGTGCGAGCAATTTCGCGAGCGTGTGGCACCGCTTGATCACCTAGGGAACGATCTAATGACGTGACTGTCGTAAATTATAGACGCCCTGACACGCATTCAAATCAGTATCCCACCAGTTAAGTACTCATTTTGATTGGTCCGAAGCAGCTCCTTAATTGCCAATTCTGTGACCAGTTGGCCTACTTATTTCCACTTCAGTTTGCTCTATCAGACTAGCCAATCCTAACTCCCTTTCCAACTCACACGATTACTCTCAACGGTTTGGGTTATCGATTAACCCCCCAGGGCATTTTAGTTGGTTGATTTTCATTAAGTCCACAACCATCACCATCGCGATGCGCATCGTTACATTCCTATAGCGTTTTGCTCTGGTCAACGACAACTTCTTCTTCTTCGTCTTCTTTTGTTTCCTCAGCTGAAAAAGTTAGGTCTTCTCGGCCCCGAAGACAACCTACCACCCGCGCTTCTGCGCACCCTGCAACGCATGTGGGCCAACAACGGGGACGCCATTAGTCACCAATACGCAGGCACCGTGGCTATGAAGGTAAGTCCTCGTCAAAAGTGTTTGTTATGCTGATTTTTTGGCTTGATATGTATTTTTTTTTTCATGAAATACTCCGTTTGAAGAGATTCAAACATGTTAAACATTCATTGCTAGCTTGGCGCTGCTAAACAGCACCTTCCTTTGTCTTTTAATTTTGTTATCGATTGCTGCCATGGTAGCACGTTTCCATGCCTCCCAGATCCATCGCACTTAGATGTTCTGGGTATAAATGACGGGATAAACGGCACTAAACACTACAAACCCTGATGCATTTTCTCCATGCCTGCTTTCACACTGCGTCAACCATATAGCTTGAATTTCGACCTTTGTGGTGATGCTTGTTCCTCCACCTCTGGGGTGCTCTTTCTCTGCCCATGGTTAACCGCTCCAAATGAATTCATAAGTGCTCTTTTATTTATCAGTGTTGTCTAATGATGAAGCATAATAGCACCTAAATTAGTATTGATAGAAATTGACGCTCAGTTTCGTCAGACTAGCTTTTTAGTTACCTCGAAGTTCTCAGAGTTGCATTTTGCTCTTTTCCACGGAACGCCTGACTAGCAGTGTAATCACAATATCACTCGGGCACCTTATCTTGTGCCTCCTCCGGAAGCATCCTCATCGATTACTCAAGGATGTCGCGTCAATTCTGTGTACGCAATCATTGCTTCGTTCTCGGCCTCTAAGGGTTAAGTCGCCACTCAGGCTTCTAGAAATTTGTGTCATTATTTTTTACTGTGTTGCGTTACGTTTACCAGATTTTCTTGCGAAAATTTGGTCGGTCAGTGTCATCTATGATTTCCACCCGATCGTAGCTCTCTTGAGTTTCATTCCGAAGATTTTATGTTGAATGTCTATTCTTCAAAACCTTCGTCTATTTTCACTTGGCGTTGATTGTGGTAATCGATTTTGCACATTTCTGTTATCTCCCCTTAATGTCGTTGCAAATTTGTCAACCACCGACAGACATTTTCCCCCGTTTCCTAACGATTCGACTCGTTGTGTATGGTTCCTCAAATTATACTTTGGCTTCTAATCGACTGCTTCTGCGCTCCACATTTTACTGCTTCTTTTTTCTCTAGGGCGATTTCACAAGGACCGGTGAGCGTACAATGAACGGCATGGTACGAGATGGGGTCTCCTCGATGAACCGGTTAGTGGCAGTGGGTTTATCTACCGTAACAAAAACCTTATTGTTAAGGTCATCTATCTCGTCAGTGGGTGGTTTTTCTAGCCGTCAAATTTGTCGTCTTTAAAGCTCACGCTCGAGTACGATTTCGCCTACGGCACGATTGATTATTTTGTGATACTACTTATAAGAAATAAGTAGCACATTTTTATATTTTGTTCGTTGGCATCGCTAGGGCACTAAACTTTGGTGGGTTTGTCAACGTTCATGTGTGTTAGGATACTCCGACGCGTCTTCACCTATCAGAAACGTGCACCCGGATGCCTTCGCACTTACTCCTTCGTAACTATCTCATGGTAGGCCGGACACGTTTCTACTTGGGGAACCACAGCTTGAATGCATCCGTTTGAGCAATGAACCGTACAGACCTGTCACCCCAAAGTCGCACAAGCCCCGAACATTTTCAATCTTTCTGGTTTCTCGAATTCCCCAAGGTGACGGAGATTAATGCGGCATTGACTTACCTATGTATGTGTTCCCTATTCCCTTGAAAATTTGGTTCGCCTGCACGAGAATCGGATTTTGTTCTTGCTTAGCAGATTGTCTGCATTGTGCCCCGTAGCTGGAACCTCACTACTTGGTGTTCCCTCAATGTGTCTGGTAGGCCCTACGGTACATGGTCATTTCGTTGTCTACTGTTGGACTGACGCTAACTCCAAGCATGAGCCTATGAGTATCCGGTAGGAGAGGTTGTACCACAAAAGGAGTGCAAAAAAGCCTATTACCGACAAACACCTTGTGACCAATTTGTTCGGATACTCACGGAAACTCTGGAATTTCCCCATCTGGTCGACCTAGATGACACTTTGACCGCAAATGAATCAACTCTAACGTTGAAATCAAATAGCAACTGCCGTAAAAACATCACTTCTGACTCCACTCAGTGTCACGTTAGCCCATCATTACTGCGCTACTCGTCCGCGAACATACGAGAAAGTTCTATTGTGCAAACGTTTATTTCTACTCACTCTTTCTCCTTCACCAACCAGGAGCATAGTTGTTCTGAAAACGAACACTGCTTTGATGTGAAGACGAGAAATTCCTCGCCAAAAGGCTATGTACTTCTAAAAGATGAAACGCTGAAGAACAGCCTCCTTGTAAATAACACTAGTAGCAAAACCTCACGTGGCATCTATACGAGTGCTTCTAAGCAAAATAGAAACGCTGTTATTTTAAACGTTTCGACAAACGCTGTCACCACTGGAAGTCCACAAACAATCAGCATATTACCAGCGGCTTTGCATTTGAATATGCAACCTGTGCGCTCCATACCCTTTGAGCCACTTGCTAACGAAATTCATCTAGCCGAAAGAAATTGATACAACCAAAGTCCTGGCAAATTTCCTCAACATGTAAATAACCTTAACAGACAGGTAGGTTATATGCAACAGCCAGTAAACTGTAATCTCACAGTGGGTCGAAATTTTCCCATTTGACTCTTTTACGGCAGCCAGCTGTTAGCTCTCCTGGGGACTCAGCGGGCGTGCCACTGTTTGTTTTTTCTTTTCTTGTCTTTTGTATTGCGGCACAATAGCTGAGGTGTTTCCCACCTCCAGCTAACCTATAATGATGATGCTGATGATGATGATTCCTGTGTGTAGCGCAGTCCGAGACCTTTGTTTAAGTTATTCTGCCACATTTCATTTTTTAGAGAAAGTTATATTCTTGGAGGCTGCTGCCAGGAATGTGATCGCCTACATAAGCCGAACTCTTGCCTTGGGGGATTCCAGGCTTCAAGCCTTTAAAATATATATTAGGCAGAAGATTGAGTACTGTACGATAGTGCACAGTAATCTGAAAACATTTTACATCATAGCATTAGAAAACATTCAATGATCATTCACAGTGGTTTTTGAGCATGTCTAATACTATGACATACCGTGAGCGTTACGATACTCTAAAACTGGTGCCGTCTTGGCTACGCAGAGTCAAACTCAATCTGTACCTTCTGTACTGCTTACTATTCCAATTAAACTTCACGGCTCAGCCACAACTCGAGTTTCAGACTCGTATGCACCGTGAACTAAGAAACAGCGAGCGCACATTGCAAATACAAAAGTCCCGCACCAAGCTCCTCTCAAATTTTTTCTCTGTTAACTTCCATCGAGTATTGGAAACTGCACTACCTATCCGTAATTCAAACGCAAGATTAATATTCACCTGATTGTTTCAAATATCTGGTCAATACTTAGCCAAAAGATGACTTTAGATGTTTTGTTTGTGACAAGTCCTGGATACACTTGAAAATCGTCATATCCCCTAATTGTCTCAATAGTATATTTTTACCTACACCTAGTTGAATTCTTGAGTATGTATCTATAAACGATCTTATGTCCATCACTCCTAATCAATTCTGTTTACTCCTTTGATTCACTGGTCCGAAGATGCGCTAAACCTTTCAAGCTGAAGTCTCTGTACCAACGCCGTCACTCGTCAAGATTTACCAGCAATTTGTGATTGGCCTATCGACAAACTATTGTATTCATTATTCTGATTTTTTTAGTTCTCCAAATTTTCTTTTCTTCCTTGTTTCATTGTTGGCCATGCGTAGATTGATCTCTTTAGGTGACGGATTACAATTTCCCAACTAAAAGAAATTATACCTATGCAAATCATACTGCGACTGACTCACTAACTTATAATAAAAATGTGCCATACTTAATTGATCCGCATGACCGAACGGGCTGAGGCTTCATCGCCCATATTGTAGGCATAAAACAGTCCTTAAGGAAACAAAACATTTATAACACTGGTGACGGCCTATTTACCATTTTGTTGCGCCGGCACAGAGCCAGTTGGAGCATAGAAATGCAAGTGAAACCCATCGAGGGGGAATACCTTGCATGGAAGCGGCTCCCCTGGGGACAGTTTCATGGATGACCGTGTTACTTTATTTGAACTTTTGCTTAAATCTACATTTAATCTACTCATGAGTACGGGACTTTGATATAATTAATTGCGGTCCTTTGCAGCCAGGTTCCAAATCAGATAGTCATTCACATGTCCGGAAAAGCACTAGACTACAGTTTCAGCCTGTTGGGCATCGGTAGTAGTACATATCCATCGGATCCATCAGGATTCGAACACATGACCACCTGCGGCTTGAACCGCCAGTCAGCAGCTTATGCCACTGGGCCACGGAGGACAGCTTCGGACCGTCATGATTTACAAGCTAATTGCGATATAGCGCGTCTTATCCTCCACTGCCATGCGAGTTACGAACGTTGCAGAGGACAGGGTTGACCCCGAAAGACACGACGTCCACTAACAATAGCTATGTACGACATAGCATTTAGAAACTGTTGGGGTGGATATATTTTGATATACTGCAGTCTAGTGCTTTTCCGGGCATGTAGACGACTATCTGATTTGGAAGCTGACTGCGAAGAACCTCAGTTACTTATATCAAAATCCCCTACTCATGAGTACATCAAAATATATCCGCCCTGACATTTTCGAAATGCTATGTGGTACATCACTGCTGTCAGTGGAGGTCATGTCTTTCTGGCCAACCTTGTCCTCTGCAACGTTCGTAACTTGCATAACGGTGAAGGATAAGACGCGCTATATCGTAGTTGGCTTGCAAATCATGATAGTCTGAAGCTGTCCCGCGTGGCCCAGTGGCATAAGCTGCTAACAGCCGCTGGTGGTCATTGGTTCGAATCCCGATGGATGCGCTCTACTGTCAATGCCCAACAGGCTGAAACTGCCGTTTAGTGCATTACCGGGCATGTGAACGACTATCTGATTTGGAAGCTGGCTGCGAAGAGCCTCAATTAATTAAATCTACATTTGTTATTGTTCTCAGTTTCCAAATCTATAATACTGTTATTCACTTCAAAAAACCCATATGGGAACCTTTGTACAAAACACGAAACATTAACTAAATAATGCGATCACGTACTAATTGATCAGACCACTCAATTGGTCTATACCTCGTACTGTCGAGGAATAAAACGTTTATTTATTTAGTTTACTGCTCTCTCTTTACCGTTCTACCTCGATGTCTACGCATTTTCGGTGTTGTAGCACCACTATTATTCATTAGAATGCACCCCAACTTGTACTCCTTTCGCGACCATGTATACGACGATCACTTTCTTCTTCATCCCTCCTCTTGTTAAGGCAGACCAACATCTGCTTGAGCTCCGAATCGTCGTTACTCTCAATTATTGAGTACACGTGAAAATCACGAGTTTTCTCCACATGTAGATTGATCTAAATATTTTGAGAAGACACAGGCTCTACACGTCATCCTTTTGTTTCTCTACATAATTCTCTGACACCTACTAACCTCGTGGTTCTCAATATCATGTGTGGTACTAGTAACTGTCCAGTTTTAGGGCTTTGGATTCTCTCGGTACATACATGGCTCCTCGAACAAGGCTGGCGCTCTTGAGCTTTAGTCAACATCTGGACAGCGGAAGTTGCGCACGTGTCGTACGATATCCTTAATGCCCTTATGGTGATAAGAACTTCTGGTTACTCATATGCATGCTGAGGACTAGCTGTGATCGTTTCAGGAATACTGCGGGCGACGGCATATAAGTCACTGTTTCTGAACTTAAATAGCCGGTCTAATCCGGTCTCCTACCACAACTTAGGTGATTCACTCAAGGTGTATGTGAGAGAATCGTATGATGATATCCGGGATGTCGCTTACTGGTCTGCGGGCCATTCACAGTGGTTAATGTCAGACTTAAACAGGATGTGGCTACTTGGAATCGCTCGGTATCCCTTTCGAGAAGTATGTCTTCATAATCATCATTATGCACGTTAGCTTGAGGTGGGAAAACACCTCCGCTATTGTGCCGCAATACATGAAGGAAATACATACATGGTTGGCGGCATCCGGTTTCGGATTTGCCTGTCACTGTGGCAAGCCACAGGACGCCTGCGCCTACAGAGGGACCATGGATGGCTTGCGCTGCACCACCCACAGCCCCAACCACATACCCCATATCCAGTGTAAACCCGAAGGAATAAGACCGGGAGGCATGCGGATGGGAACCACGTTTCATCAACGGAGCCGGCCCACACTCCTTCACAGGCAAACACAAGCACGCTGTATTTGGGGAATCAAGCGCACACAAGGCGGTGGCTGGACCGTAGTCCGCTCCACACTGAGTGCATGGAACCGCTCTTTGAGCCTAGCACGGCCACAAGAACCGTGCACCCCGTCCCCTCCAGCAACGACCAACTGTCTCCTGGAGCCAGTATGAACGATGTAGTGGGTAATAGACAGGTAGGCACCTTGTCAACATACACATCAAGCGCAACCATACCAGGGATATCAAACAACAGCCATTCACTTTAAACGACAAGCTGAAATAAAATAAATCCAACAATGCATACAGATACGGTGGCATAACTCTTCGCTAAATTACCATATGAAGTAATTTGGTTAGCAACAAATCGGTGATAAGTAAGAAATGTCCACAAGTTACTTAAAATGCTACAAACGCAACAAAATTACCGAAGATAAGCGCAATTAGTGTAAGCAACGTGGACAGTTAAAAGAACATTATTCAGGGAGGCAGAACAAACCAAATAAAGCGGAATGAAATTCAGCCAGCTATAAAAGACCTAGTTTAAGTGTAAGTTGGTTTAGCCCAACTGCGGTGAAGAAGCATCAAGAATGCAACATCAGCCTCAGCATACACAAAGGAAAAAAGATACTATAGTTGCATGACAGCTGAGCTACCAGCAACGGACAGGCATCGTTCCGGTAAGCTACCAGCCAGCTGCTAGGCAAAAAGAAAAAAAAATTATTATGTTTTACCCTAGGAAATGAGATCGTAGATGGAATTGGAGGCTAAAAGGGATGGGGAGGGACAAAGAAACTCACAGCACAGACGTCACTAAGGTTGGCTCCTTGCCATGGCAGCAAGTGTATCCAGCCAAACGTGTTCACCGTCATTTGGACTCCAACCAGGGCGCCGTGACGCTCCAATCGAGGTTAGCTCCGATTGAGGGACTTCATTCCCCTTGATCAAGTCATCGCTTGGCCACCTCTTCTCTTCTTCCACCCACATCCCCGGTGAGCAAACAACACACGTCGAGGGAGTCAGTGAGCTGGCATGCGGAAGTATGTCTTCACTTTGGGATTGATATACAATAGTGATTCATCAACCTGGCATCCCAGCTGATGTCGCCTCATTTCAATAAATGCTTCGTGCGATTTTTATCTGGACCATCGAGAGATCAAATTATGTCAATCATGTGTTTTTCTCAGCGATTCGTTTGGAGCGTTCCATTACCGTGGTCTTAAGATCACCACGACAATTGGCCTCCATCCTAAATGTGCTTTGTTTGGGTACACGTTCTTTCACCTATAAGACGAACTTCTGATATTATAAGCTAGCGGTAGACCGAAACCAGATGTTATTTCACCAGGTGTTAGCAGTATAGACGTTCCAAGCAAACCAGACGGTAACGCGCCAACAGCGGATCAGCCCAACACCCAAACAGTTTGTAACTGGCCTTACAGTGTGGAGGGTGATCCGGGCTATATCGTAGTCAACTGTCAGTCATTCAGGTCCGCCATCGTCATTCATGACTTAATGGCACAAGCTGCTGGCCTCCGGAAGGCATGTGGTCGGAACGCGGTAGGGGTCTGAGTAAGGCGCACCACTGACGAGACCCAGAAGGTGCTTTTCTAGACGTCTCAAAGCGTGCTGACTGATAAGGGATTTGCGTTTAATTACCCCTTGAAATTACACCCAAATCCCCACTACCCATTAGAAGAGGGACTTAGGAATCTCAGAGCTGTGCATTAGGATTAGACGCAGAAGCATCATGCACCACGCGACCTCCAGGAGAGAGTTCGAAGATGAGTGGGACAGTTTCTGATCGGAGCTTATGCGTATGTCCGATTATATTCATCACAATAACTAACTCCGTTCGCACCTAGGGTTCTTGCAAATTGATCGATTGTAGATCACACGAACTGAGTGCTTCTGTTATTGTTCATCTTCTTGCAGTGCTATTGAATGGAGATAGTTGCTGTAACTTTGCACTGACAATACCTGGAGGTGGAGCAACTCAAATTCGTTAACCTGTGCAGTAAGCTTATCTGATTAGCGTGGCGACTAAGCTGAGAACGTTAATTCACTGTGGAGAACAGGAAGCGCTGCATGAGGGCAAAGGTGCATACATTACTGGACCATCGCACTCGTCAGATTTTGTTGTCTGACTTTGATTTGTTTGCAGGATCTATGAGAAACAAGATGTAGGGGAATTTAGTGTATCCATCTTGGCTCCTAGGACCCTCTAGAAACGTACGGCAAGAGAAGTGAAAACGGACGTCAGTGTCAAGAATTTCTCCTGATACACTTACGTGCTTATTTCGTCTGATTGGATGCATATACTCGTCGCGGTTGTTTCTTATCTACCAAGAAACGCCAATGTTTCGTGCAACAACGTACAATTCCGACGCATCAGATTTCATAAGGCGACTCAGCCGTCTTCACCATGATCACGTTGGGTTTTACAGGCGTTTGTCTGGAACAGAGCATTCGGATCGTATTGGCACACTATATGCAAACATTAGGATTAAGACTGGCGGGGTCATTCTTCATAAGCAAGTTATACTGGCGGATTCAGTGGGACGGCGCTGTATTTTTAACATCCCTGTGTTGAGAGTTTCCGTGTACTCGGCTCTATTCTTATCCGGCCACGTCTTCACCATACTGGTCCTCGTCTGTACTGTTCTCTGGTATCTAACTGCACATCTGTCTACCATCGAATGATTGCATTCTTCCATACCGCAGCAATACGCATGACCCTCTCTACCTATCCTTTTACTATTTAGATACTATCTGCGGTTTCGTGAAATAACACGCCAGGCTGCAATCGATCTTTTGTTAGGCAACGATGATAGCCCCGAGTTGATCCTCATACGAAATGGAGCCGGTTTGGAAGCGGCCTCTATTCAAGTAAGCAAGTCGCTTCTATCCATACAGCCGTCCTTCCCATCGGCCTTCTCTCTGCTCTACCATAGCTCCAAGCGTGATACTCGTATTGGCTGGTCTGTCTGTGTCTCCAGTGCCAATGCGGCGCTGGCACTTCGAAACATCCCGCACGCATGCCTTGTGTGCCCCGAAAAGTCGATCCATCCACATGCACGCCTGTCTCACCTCTCGTCTGTCTGTTTTCATACATGTCTGTCCAGCCGTTCCCTGAGCTCGCACCGCCGTAGTCATTAGTGCCGCGATGGTTCGCATACCAAAGTATTTACCATTGTTCTTGAGTCATTAATCAACTTCGGATGGCCCGTGAACTTCTGACCACCTGACCGGGTCGATTAACCACACTCTCTAGGACGATTTTAGCGCACTCGAGTGTGAGGTAACGTTTTTTTGAAATTAATGTTTTGCGACACTACTGCCCAATGTTTTGATGTTTAGAGAAAAAAGACCCCAGTATATACTGTCTGCAGTTCCGCTATTGGTGCTTATTGGAGCGACTTCTATTACAGTTATTTGGGCTTGGGACTTTATCGGCTTAATGTTCCGTTACTTACAAATTGTACCCAACTGACTGTATTAATCCTTATGAGGCCGTTCATGCGTTTGGGACTAGCTGCCATCAGCTACTACTCGCATTGTTTTTCAGCCGCACCGTCGTCGCCGTCGTCATGTGAAACCCGCACAGACTTGGGCTGGGTAGCCGGTGCCCATTGCTTCAACGATCGTAAAGGGGCACGCAGACTCATAGGCATTATTCGATGTTAAAGGAGCTTTGTAGACAATGCTGGGGCAGCTATTGAGGTCGACTCAGTGTCCATTGCCGATCGACCGTGGCCCATCAGAGTTCTCCATATCTCCATATCCTCCCTGATTCCCATTGCGCCAGGTACACACAGGTTGTTATAGAAGTTCTCTGCGGTTTGCGCCCGTCATTTTTAAACCAAGGCAACGCACAACTACTGAAAATTCACAAGCAGTAATCCACCAGTGTTCCTACTACCACTACGCCTACTTCAGACTGTGTAGTCATCACGAATGCAAGCTTCGACCGATGCAATCTGCATTGGTCCACGGTCATATTTTGTCGTGATGTTCCACATTCGTTCGATCACCAGGTTCGCCTCGTACAGTGATCTTGGTAGCAGGCCTCCCCACGTATCTACATCGGTTCAAATATGTCTGTCCACCGGTGCGATAAGAATACCCAATCGGAGTGCGCGGATTGATTATTTGAGTAGAAACAAGCCGCTGATCAGGCTAATTGGACAATTAATGAACGCCTACACAACTTCATTGATTGATCAGGTACGTTCCACGACGCTTCAACAGTTCCTGTAGTGTAGTCGACGTGCTAGCGCAAATAAGCATAAAACATTAGGGAATTAGATGGAGGAATCGAAGTTCTTGAGTCTCCTCCTCAAGAGCTGTCATAAAGATGCTCCCTTCTTACCACTCATAGTGCACCAAGTCGCCGAGGAAGTCTTGCACAACTACACTGAGATTATTTTCGCAAAAATAGCCTACATGATACGTCCACAATTTGTGGGCTTCTATGCTGCAGTCCGAGCTAGGGGGTGCATGGGCGCACCCATTTAGCTCCATCGCCGGTATACTATGAACCAGATACACGCAGACACGCTGCCAAGCGTATCTAAACGACGGCAGCTGACCAGATGAACTGAGCAGCACTGAATTGCGCTTGGAGGAGTAAATGTGTCTGATTTCGGCAGCATTAAAGGTGTTTAAAAACGAGCTGCTGATATAAGCAAGTGTAAGCAGCCTTTACACCAGAAAACTTTTACACAGAAAACTGTAATCAAACGGACAATTTTATCTCGCTGTACACACAGCTTGTATCCAGCCAACTCGAAATAATGGTTACGTCGCATTTGGAAGTCTAGATTTGTCTACAACACTCGCAGCACACAATTGCGTAGATTCCAGTGACATGCTCAACAACTGCATCTACTGCTCCGTTTTTAGCACTCACAACTCTCTTGTATTTCCTTGAGTTTTCTCGAATGCCACCAGTAGATGAAGATCGATTAAGTAGTTTTGAATCACATATTCGAGTTATTTTTGCACGTGGAACAACAACGCCGCCAAAACAGTTCAGTTCAAATGAACGATTGTGCTGCGGGCGCCAAAGTGTAGTGCATCGAGTTTCCACGACTCACATCGCCAGAATAACACTAAATAACGGTGATGAAATGCACGCCAATAGAGTACAGCGAAAGCGGGGTATCCAACAGAAGTGTGCATAGTTGATTGTAATGGATTGAATATTAACAGCTTGTTGCAAGAAACCGAATGCAGGTACGCTGCTGCGCCATATCTGCTAGCGTCACTACCCACTGGTTTCGACCATCGCGATATTCACATCCACCAAGACGGCACGCACTGGTCTGACGAAGTCTCTCAGTCAATTTCTTCATGCACTTATGCCACCTCATCGATTGGCCGCCTCACGGATTCACCCAACTTGGTGCGGCCACGGCTTATAATGCAAGCCGATGAAGCCGGTCAACCGGCACACTGAGGACATGGCTTAGCCAACGTAAGCAGTGGAGGTTAAGCAAACACTCGAGTGAGGTACCAGAAGGATTTTTGCCAAAAATCAGTTGGCGGACTTCAGCACTGTTCAACCGGTGTTCTCACCGGACGTCAGCTTTACTCCGCGAATATCGGTGATCAAACAGCCAAGGTTTTAGTGTCTTCGCGAACTGGTCGGGTCTCTGATCCATACAGTAACCGGTCTACTCTATTGATAGGCTGATATCCCACCGTCTTCAAAGATGACCAAAAGCACTAGTGACCAATCAGCGTTTTTGTTTGGAGCCCATCACTTCTCTGTCTTTTTTTCTCTTTCCAGTAAAAGTTTGTGCACTTTCGATTGCATAAGTGTCTTAACTGGTCTCTTCAGAATCTTTGTACCAGACCGTTCGTTTGCTATCCAAAAATCCCTTTAAACTCCATTTTCTACGGCCTAGATATTACTACCCTATGGATATAACAACGGTATGGCCAAGTGCTTTGCAGCGTATGTTCTCCTTGAGCGCTCACACTTTCACCCCCGTGCCCGCTCTGTTCGAACAGGCCCGGGAGGAGAACTTGAGAACACTTATTCGCCAATGTCGACGAATTTTGTTGGATCCAGAAGAAACGAACCTGACCGAATGTGTCCTTACCGCTTACTCAGGGTATGTGTTCGCGTAAATCTTTTTGCTTTATATCTTATAGAAATCTCGCGGCTTGCTTCCTCTATTTATCCTACAATCCTGTACCTACGCTATCGTGTCCCAAGGCGGCCAACTTTCACACGCTTATTCGTTTTGTGTAACACCTACCAGCAGTTTTTACAATCTTACACAGTCAACCCATTGTTCTCATGTCATTATTCTTACGATTTTCTTTTATTCCTCAATCCACGCCATCTTGTAGGATTACACGTCGATTTGTGTCTCCTGTTCTTCTTTTTTATTTCATAAAGATTATCTTCATTATTACCAAATTCTTGGACGGACATCGGAGTTTAGCTTATTCCCTATGTAATTATGGATTGTGGAACACGCGAACTACTTCAATCCACAGCCATTTCTTACTAAATGTCACGAGCATTGCTCACTTAGCCATTGAACTAAATGAGCTCCATGTGCTAGAATGTGTGCAGCCGCTTTGCTAATGGGACTAGAGCTCTTCTTCCCACTCTCAACACTTGCATCATCCGGTCAGCAGACAGACGAGAAATGAGTATGGTGAGGCGGAAATTTTACCACTGCTAATGGGTATAATTTTCAAATCCATGGAGAGTATATTTCAAAGTTAAACTTTAGTGTACTCGCCGTGCAGTTGGATTGCGACATGCAACCTGTATGTTGAGATCTCGGTTCACATTGAAGTAGAGCCCGATCATTCCAATCCAATCCAACTTTGAATTCCTTACAGCTGTGTCAAGCGTTGCTCACCGATCTGAGAGGCATGGTGATCAAGACGTCGGCCTTTAACCACTAGACCGCGAATTCCACCCCAGGGTCAGGTTCTTTCCATCTGATGAGTCCAAACCAGCACGAAACCGATCATGGGGTGTCGCTGTTGGGAGGCGAAACACCGAAACACCTCCATTTCAGCGACGGCCTTTGTGTTAACGCTGGTAGAGTTGAACACATTTGCCCATGCTTATGCGTGCGAAAATTGCAGTCTGTGCATAACCGGTAGCCCATTAGTGTTTAGCTTACATGCCACGCATTCGATACCTTCTCTCTACCTAATGAGATCAAATGAGTTCGAAACTGGTCGCGTAGTGCTGTGTTATTGGGTGGGAAATGCTCAATATTCATTTGCGTCATGCACATACAAGTGCATGGTCAGTGTCCACACATGTGCTCCAAATCAAGCGACAGTTTTGGATGCAGCCTCTCCAGCGGTAATTGATCGCGATGTGGTCGCTTTGCCTCCATTGCTTTTCCAAGACTGATAGCACTGTTTGTGAGCAAAAGAAGAGGAAATGTACCGCTCAGCACTGTCGCTTCACGAACTAGGCTCCGGTGGCTGGGCCACACGCTGCGCAGGTTAGCACAGCAACTCCCGCGACTTGCGTGGTTATCGCGACCGAGGGTGAATGGAAAGAGAAACGAGGAGACCAAACGATTACTTGGTCAGAAGAATGAAGGCCCCGTAGTTGGAGCCTCAGCTCCCTAGCTGCAGTCTGAAAGATGATGAACACATTTGTCTGAATAATACACTTGTTGATATGGCTAAGAGCCGACCTCAGTGATGTTTGTGTTGGTAGTTTCATTGTCCACCCCTCCTCCAACCACAACCTCATTTCTGTCACACGAGGTAATCTTTTTGCGAAACAATAGCTGGTTTCTAGCTCTCCGGGACGATGGTGGCTCAACTGGGGTGCATGTGTTGCATCTTTTTCTCCCTTCTAATGTATTTCGGCACAATAGCTGAGCTGTTTTCCATCTCTAGGTAACGTATATAATGACGATGGTCGAATTGACCAAGGTCCACATTGAGATTGCATGTCATAATTCGCTCACACAGCTTATACTTCAATGTTACTTCCAGTGAGACAGATAAACTTTTTCTTGCGTCGTTGTGTGCGCGGTGGAGGGTATTGTCCCACCTCCTCCAGTGCCCTCTGCCTGCTACTCCAATCCAGATTGCAAAACCAGAAGTCATGACTCAGCTGACGGTGTATATTTTGCGCGAAACATTGGTTACCTTTAAATTTCAAACGTTTTTCCTAAATGAGCATCGCGATCATCTGTTCACGTGCATTGTGAATGTGTTGTGCCTGGCTAGTCGGCTACGATGCACCGTATTTCACTGTCTACTCGCGTCCAATCTTAGCCCCCGCCCCGTTGTCGATGTGCGCCGGACTCCACCACCTGCTCGCATCGTCGCTGTTTACCGTATTTAGTCAGCTGCTTGCGTGCGAATCACAAACGGGGTTCCGTCAGCTGCTCACGTAACCCGCCACAGGCCGGCTCATGCCGTTTTTTCCATCCCACGTTGTAGCATCGTACGTAGGTATTTGCTCAGCTTGGCCATCTAATCAAGCATGTAGTTCTACGTTGGGCGAAAATGGACACGTATGTCAAAAGCGCTTGCTGGTGACGGAATCATTGTATGTTTCACTGACCATGTGGCTGTGGTTATTGGTCGCACGAGCCGAGCAAACCCGCAGAAGGGCAGCATAATCAGTGACAGTCAAACTACGCGTTTCTAAATTTAGCCTTGAACTCTCGGGGCCAATGAATGTATTGCTGCGTTCACGAAGGAACCGAACTTTTGTAGTTGCGTACTAATTGGTAGAGCACGGTGCGGCTGCTGAGGGCACGTAGAGGCTTGTTTAGGCGGATCGCGGCCAATGGCACTTAATCGTCTAAACCAGTGTCTACTCGTCGCCAGTAGTCGTAGCACGCTGTCTCTGCCGATTAGCGCGCTATTACTAAAGTTCGGTTACTTTTTAGACACAGTCCCATACTTTTTAGTTTGAGAGCACATGATAGCGATCCTGTTTTACGACGCGTCTCAGGTATACGCACCGTTCAACCTTAGTTTTGAGACTTAAAGCCATCAAGTCAGTTAACCTTGCTATGCCTGCGCCAGGGTTCAACCGTTCAAGGTTAGCTCATAGGAGGATAGTTAAGAGAACTCGCGATGAACAGGCATGAATAAAGGCAACTTCTACAGTCTGTCATGCTGATCCGCGGCTGTTACTCATGACTTCGTGGCACAGTCTGCTACCATCCGGAAGTTATGGGGTCGGAATCCGACGGGAGTCCGAGGAGCGCGATTTACTGACGCGACCCAGAAGGTCGAAACGGTCGTCCGGTGCCTTTCCAGATTTGTGGGAGCCTGTCTGACTGAGAAGGGACTGTGACAAACTGCACCACTAAATAAGTAGATTGCAGCATTTACGAACACAGCTGCAGTTAGAGACCGATTATCATTATTGCGCTGTCTTACCGGACTCTTTCCTAAAAACCAGCGGTAGCTCTTCTTATAATTGTGCACATAGAATCTTAAGCGGAAGAAAGGCGAAATAAAAAACAACGAGTCCTTTTGATCTCATGCCTCAAACAAGGTGAAACAGGGAATGCCTCCTGTTAAAGCTGTTATGGTGCATACTATTTGTCTTTAAAGAAGCAATCAAAGAATTATAAGGTATGTCAACAAGGCTCCTCGCTATCAGATCCAGTGAACCAGCCACTAGTCGTCCCCGAAAGTGTCGAATAGCTGTTCCGTCTTATTTGCTCTCATCAACGCTTATTCCCCACCCCCGAGTCTTACGAGAATGAAGTCCATGACTCTCGCTCTTGCGAGTCATCGCCTAATGCCGCTGTGTCATGACTACTGATTGCGATCTGCGCATTTCAGCGGTATGAAGATTTCAGGATTGCTTCCTAGCACTATCATCTCCTCTCTTGCCATGCAGCTGATCACATTGAGGTACTCTGAACCAGTTCGAGCGATAGATCATCAGCATTGACGCCACTTATGAGTCAAAACTCGAGTAGCTCCATATGTTAGGCTGCTGTAGCATCTTCGCATGTTAGGAGTCAAAGCATTGTGGTCTTACATCTTTTATCCACTTCTGTTGCTACTGGATACCCCAAGTATAGTCCACTTGATCCACTCTTTTGAAATTAACTCCTTCCATTCACCTATATGATTGAATTCCGTGTAAACTTATCCTCACCTCCTCTCGTTTGCCAAAGGCTCTCACTGGAGTTAAACTACGCGAACACGTTGCTTCTGGTGACCGATCGCTATTTGCATTTCATCCGGTAAGTGGTACTCAACGCATTTCATGTTTGATCCGTGCTATTCCACTTGACAACACAAATGCACTCATTTCATCTCCGAATTCCATGTGATAACCGTTCGAGCACTTTTTATCCTTTGTGCTGAGACGTGTGCTTATTACGATATAGTTCATATTTGTTTTAATAACAGATATGTGTCAAAGCATGTAGCTAACTACTTAATCACTATTGACTTGCTGTTAGTGACTAATCATTACTGAGTGGTCAGGGAATTAGAGAATTTTGGGTAAACGATTTTATTCCCTACGTGTACAAGCCTGCAAAGTGGAGCAGCTATATGGCGCCTCTATCGGCTCGCTCATCGATAGTTGTTCTTTTGAGTCAGGCAGCGCTTCCCCGGGTCGAATTACAGAGTTGAGTGAACAATAACGTGGGAGCATAGGTCAACCGATCAGGCAAAGGAGCGAGCGTATGTTTACGAGGTAGTGCTCTGGATATATCGATACAGATTGGCGGTAGGAAACTGTCACCCAAGACGGATTTGAAAGGCGTGGTGGAAACAAATGAGAAGCCATTGATATCTGTTCATCACACACCAAAGCCGGGGACTAAATGAACTCGGAGCACGACTTACAATGCGCATTCATCGAAACCGCACCAAATATGCTGGACATTTATGGTACTAATCAATATCAACCGTCTCATTAAGTATTTCACATCTTGCTTATTTAACAATCGCTCAAACATAGGGGTTTTCTTTCTCTAAATGATTGAACTTAATAGAAACAGTATTTGTTTTCCGTAAATTATAGCCAAAAATGCGATAGTGAGATTTTTAAACTAAGATTTTTTGAGGAGTGATTGTTTATGGGTAATCCGATTTGTCGGTAACAGCCTCAAAATGGATGAGAACCGCTTCCATAGACTATCTCCATTTGCATGGAAGCAGGTACCATCAATCCGTGTTTTTGGGATTCTTTCTAAATGCCTTTGTTACTCCAGTCGGTTTCCCGCGATCAGCATGATTCCAGTGATTGCATATTGGTTGAAGATCTTTGGTAAAGGTAGTCTAAAAGTGTCAACACACAAACTTGCAAAACGACTGGAGACAGATCATCAGGGTCACTAAATCCATTTTATTTTAATTCTTCGAGCTCAGTACAAACATCGATGTTATCAGCGAAGACTATAAGATCGGAGCTAGTGAAGAGGAGCAGAGAGAATGTGCCCAGAATATATATATATATATATATATATATATATATATATATTTGCAACGGTCTACGAATAGACATAAAGCCATCAGAAACCATGGGACTCAGAAGAAGGTACAGAAATAATAAAAGAAAACACAACAAAACACAACAGTTGGGCTTGGAGTATCCGCTGGTGGTTGGGTTGCTACAAGCAACAGTGTCCATGGTATTGTCAGAGGGCGAGATACTACCCGGTTGTCCAAGCCGATGTAGGGTGTTGACATAGGGGACCCCACCCCGATCCTTTGGCTGAATAGCCTGCCTGCAAGTCAGCGGAGCAAATTCAGGAAATCGCGCCCATTAGGAGCCGGTGACTGATTGCTCAGTTCATACGCCTTTCGTTTGTTCCTTTGTCAAACAAGGGCCCAATGCTCCCTAGAATTACAGCATAACGTTGCTGCAATACAATGTTTCGCCAGGATGAAGCAAGGACAGTGACTATTTAGTCGCGAGTCACTTCCTCAACATCACAGTGTTGTTAAGCGGACATATGTGGCTTTTTATAGAGAGAAAGCTTGCCAGGCGAAAATCCACCACGTCCTGGAACACTGCCGCCGAACCATTTGCTGGAACGGGAAAATCCCGAACCACCCAACTGGAACCACGAGGAGTTGTTCGGCAAGACAGCCAGCGTGCAGGGGTTAAATTCAGCACTGAGATTATCCAACTGGAAATCGGTAGTTTGGTTGCGTCCTCCTGTAGTTGGCCAGCCATGAACCCAAATTGACCACATAACCATAAGTTACAGGTGGCGTGGTTCCATCTTGGATTGCTGCTCGTACTGCAGTACCCGCATCGACTCTGGTCATTCCTTGGTACGCTATCTTTCCTCCTTGAACTTTACCGGGAGGCGCACCAAGCATCTCCTCCGATTGGCAACTGAGAAATTGTCACAGCCCTCCGTCAGACAAGCCTATCAAGACGGACTGCGTACCGAACTGTCTTGTTCTAATAACACTTCAGTGGAATAGGATCTCGGCCACCATGCATGACGCAGGACCATCTGCTTGTGGCACTCTCCATCGTCACCGCATCAGTCACTGGATATCCGAGAGGTCGGTGAACCTGTTGGAACCTCGAAGAAACCTCCCGGCTGGATCTGAGCACCATGTGACAAGACGGGCTATTAGGCGCGAACTAAATCAGAGCCTACGTGCTGACAAGGAAGCCTGGTTGACCAGTAGGGCTTAAGAAATGGAGGAGGCAGAAACTGTAGTCAATTACCGCAAGCTCTTCCAGATACTCCGCGCCACTGGTCCCAGGAAACCAGGTGTCAGTGAGACAATCAGAGACAGCGCGTGTGCACTGCTACACAGTAAGGAGCGCCGTATGGCTCGTTGGGCTGGACCCATTCAAGATCAGTGCAGCTGGCACCCTACTCCCGGACCTCTTCCTACTCAGATGATGCAGGACGAGCTATGGATGGTTAGTTTAGAGCCTCCGTCGGAGACCGAGGTCCGAAACGCGACCACGGCCCTCAATCGTTTTCGTGCCGTTGGACCTGATTCCCTCCCACTTGCACTATTTAAGGATGGTGGTGAGGTCCTCTGCAAAGTACTGTCCTCTATTCGAACGTATCTGCAAGGAAAAGGGTATCCCGGCTAATTGGTGCGAATCGATTATAGTGGCTATCTACAAGAAGGGCAGTCGCACAGACTATTCTAACCACAGGGGTATTAGCCTAACGCTCCACTGTGGAACGGGCATCTTGGATTAGGGAAGAGCAGACCAGTTTCCGCCCAGGACGTGGCTGTATAGACCATATATTCACTTTGCGGCAGGTGCTAGAGCAGCGCCAGGCATACCACAGACCGACAATAGCTGTGTTCCTCGATTTCAAGAGTGCGTTCGATTCAGTCGATCGATCGATTCTGTTCGAGATACTAGCACGGAAAGGTGTTCCCACGAAATATGTGAACATCCTTCGTGCTCTATACTCGAACACTACAGGCCGCGTCTGGGTCTACGGTGGCCTATCGGATAGCTTTCCGACCACGAGTGGCGTTCGTCAGGGTTGTCCGATTTCCCCACTTTTGTTCAATTTCGTCGTGGATTCTATCATGAAATGTTTCCTTGCGGAATCTCACGATGTAGGGGTTGAAGTGCTGCCTAGCGAAACATTAGTTGCTCTTGATTATGCGGACGATATCGTCTTGCTTTTCGACGATGTTGGGGCGGCACAATCAACCCTGAATAGTCTGTCCAGAGTGGCCCCATTATTTGGTATGCACTTCGCACCTCCAAAGTGCAAATTGTTGCTGCAGGACCACCAGCCACTTGATGACCCCTTGACCCTTGCTAACGAGGAACTCGAGGTGGTTGATCAATTCACTTATCTTGGCAGCTGCATCAGCAACGATGGGCGCATAGAAACTGACGTGAGCTCACGCATTGCAAAGCCAGAGCTGCCTTCTTGAACCTGCGGCATCTTTGGCGACAGAAAAGAGTTTTCCTCCGTCTGAAAGGCCGTGTATACAAGGCCACAGTGAGGGCCGTTCTGCTCTATGGTAGTGAGGCTTGTCCCCTTCGATCAGAAGATCTGAGGCGCCTTCAAGTCTTTGATCATCGTTGTCTACGAAACACTGCTGGTGTCGGATGGCACCAGCGTGTTCGCAACGATTATGTGCGTAGGCGAGTACTAGGTAGTGATAATCACGCTAGCTCCCTAGAACAACAGATAGCGCGGGATAAGTTGCGTTGGCTTGGGCACGTGCGACCTATGTCTGGTCACCGCTTACCTCGGATGGCCTTGTTTAATCTACCAGGTGTATGGTGGCGCAAGGCTCGCGGTGGACAGAAGTTGACTTGGCAGAGGGAAATGAAGTCACTGACGGCCAAACTGGGTGCCGTTGGTCCGTCTCGCCTTCTGGACTGGAGTCCACGTGACTCGCCTTGTACTTGGCTCGAGACTTTACAGGACATGGCTCGCAGCCGATACCAATGGCGCGTCTGCTGCCGTCTCCTAATCGGATTGCCTGTTTATAGTGTGTTTGGTGCTGAGTTATCTGCGGGGTAATGGCTGATTATGACGCATGGCAGTGAAAGCCGCAAGGAAGCTGTCTCGCCGATGCCGCCTTATCTTTGCACGATGGTCAGCTCTTTGTGACGGTGTGTTGTCTACACAAGGTGTAGGCGCCGTGATCCTGAATGTTTGCTTAGGGCATTAAGGTTTTCAAGTAAGTCCCCCTTCTCTCCCTCTTTTTATTTTTTATTTCATAGGTCCTCATGTTTGTATGGCAGCGAAGCGTCAGTTCAAATGGCTGATGTACTGCTGTTGTTGTTTCGTTTGGTGTTGTTACCAAAGATTTGCTTCATCATTCTCTCTAGATCACTGCCTTTGCGGTAATCCAAAGCAAATTCACTGCGCTAACCGCTCAATCTTCTTATCTCAATTCTTATTGCTGAAAATGGAGGTTCGAATCGAATGACCATTTCGAACTTAGTAGCCCGCTTTTTTTATTCTGTTGTTTCAATGGCGTTGAAGTGGCAAGGGCCGTCCGTCGTAGCTGGGCAGTCTCAACAGATCGACACTAGTCGAGGAAGCAATCTGTGTGTAGACCACGAGTATTTTTCATGTAAAGTGTTGGATGCTTTTTCATGGAGACCGAATCGTCAGTTTCGGGAAAATCTTTTTTTTACTTTCTACTGTGTGATTTTGTGCGAACACTCCAGAGCCGTTATAAGGACGGCAATCAAAGGGGGACATGATTGCTATGTATCACACACCGATGAGGTTCTTCGGTTAAATCTGGGTCGACCAAATATTTCAATTTGCCTGCAGATCGTAGTATGACACTATTCCCCTTATCATTGATCTGTCAAATCCATGTCAGTGCTTCTCCCTGACCACTGATAGCTTATTTAGACATAGCAAACATCTTCAAATCACATTCCGGTGCATTGCTGCAGTTTCCACTGAGAGTATTCTCTGTCTCTCCTACTTATGCTCTCTCTCTCTCTCTCTCTTTCTCTGGCAGCACGGATGTTTCCGCACGATCTAGTCGCCCCATCTATGTTCGAATTCCTGTGAGCGGTGTTCAAAAACTGGAGCTTGGTAAGCTCTGAGATTTCTTCGTTGATTCGTAGAACTCATGCACTTTATCAATGGTATTCTCATAGCAACAACTTCTCGTCTTGTTGGGCGTGTGCAATCTCGCACATTTCCCTTTGCAAAAATGCCTCTTGTTTGTAGTATGAGCATTTAACTGATAACTATTGGGTTCTTCAAACGGCCATTAGTGATTCGGAATAGCACGGATGGCCGCTTTATTCTTTCGAACTTTTCAACACTGAGAATGGCATTCCCCTTCTGTGGAGCTAGAAGCATCAACCTTACTCTTGCGAGTTATCAGCTAGGATGTTTGAAAGATTACTCAAGAAAACGTTGCTGGAATTCCTTAATTCTCTGAACCTGTTTAACACAACTCAACATGGTTTCCTTGATAGACGTTCTTGGCCGACCTGCCGGCTACACTACCTTAACTGCACTTCAGAATCGACAGACTCCGGTTACGCAATAATCCTCTTATTTTCGGATTTAGCAAAAACATTTAACCGTGTGTCGCACAAAACGTTGTTGAATAGGGTTGAATCCTTTGAAATCTGTAACCCGCTTTTATGTTAGGTTTCTTCCTAACTTAGAAGTCGGTTTCAACTAGTCACTTTGAGTGATCACCACACCACCGCGGCCAATTACCATCGGAGTCATCCAAGGAACTGTAATTGGCCCTTTGCTTCTTCTCCTCTACGTCAATGATATTAGCATGTCCATCAAAATGGCTAACTTTTTTTCTATTTGCTGATAACATCAAAATTGTTTATAAACCGGCGTGATACACTACATGGCGCACTACTTTTAATTCAAGAGGATCTGCACTCTCTTGAGAAATGGTCTGAAACGTGGCTGATAAAGTTCTCAACCGACCATTATGTCATGTGTTTGCTCGATCCCTGAACGGACAGTTAAATTTAACAACAAAAGTATGTCCATACGGCAGTCTACCTGTGATCTTGGGCTCCGATATTCTTTTGACTTTCACTTTTCTGAACAAGCCTAATACCAAATAGTTAGAATCAGACAATCCGTGGCTAACTTATGCCACAAAATCCGTACTGTCCCTGCCAAATTGAAATTATTTTCGTATCCTGCTACTTCATCTATGGCAGCTTGTGGAATTTTGACAGGAAAGCGACAAACAATTTACCGAAGTCATTCCCCAAACGTTTGTTCAATAGCATATTCACCATGAACTATCGCGAACGTTGTAAACAGCTTCATATCTAGCCTCTCTAACTGCGACTTCTAAAGCAATACTTGATATTGTTTCACAATTTGTTGCACAAGATAACGTACTCTACCTATCTAACTTAGCCAAACTATACAATAACCATCACAGACTCTGCATCAAAATGCTTACGCTGCTGATACCAAAAGCAAGAACAAGAACTCTGCAACTTTTTTGTCATGAGATACGCCGTCTTGTGGAACAGTCTAACAACCACAATCAGTACATGAGAAAACCCCACATACTTCGAAACCAAACTCGACAGATTCGTAGATCAAGGAGTGTTATTATCCATGTTCTCATCCGACAACACACCTGATGAAATATTCCAGGATGGACTAAAAAAAGCTAAAATTGCGAAATATATAGGCGCCAACATGCAGTCATACAAGAGCATATTCATTCCTGGGCATGCTGATCCGTTCCTGATTTAGGAACAGTTTCTTACATTTCGAAAAACGTGCGTATATTATATGTGCCAACTATGGAGGCTGCTTCCCACTTATTATTATTATTATTGTTATTATTATTATTATCATCATCACTGGTCCACAATAGACGCCGGCAAGCAACATGCCTCAGCAGCTAGTTGTATATACTGATTACCGAGTGTTTCAGTAACATCATGCAAACTCACTGGGACGTTCGCACTTAGATCATTGCTTTAGCATAGCTACCTCCAGTCAGCTCATCTATGGACCTATCCGCTTTGACTCGCTCCGTTATTCCTATAAAAATTTATGTCCACGAAGTGAGCTAAAAAGAGAATACATAGGTCATAGGTTCGGTTCATGGCGTGGCTCAGGGTCGCACACTATTTGCGAGCCTTAATAGCGCGAAACGGCTGTCTGGTGCTTCCCCGGGGGCGTAGTAGGCTGTCTGGTGAATATCCCCCAAGTAATCGCGTTAAAAACCCCTACTCGCTTGTAGTCAAAAGAACAATATAGAAGACTGGTAAACGAGCCCGAAGCTCTTGGATCTCTGCTACTTAGCATGAGTAGTTTGTAGAGCAGCGAGCTGGTTAGCGGCTTAGCGCGAAGTTATGCCTCCGAGGTCGAATCCCACCTTCTGAACGACAGTTCCATGCCTATTAGTGTGGATGATGATGCGCGTTGTATTGTAGTTAATAAACTAGCCAGCTATACCATCATCGCCGCCCACGGTTGTGGGCTCGGATCAGGCAGTATTCGGAGGAAGGCATGCTACTGATGCGTTTCAAATCAACAAGTTATCAGTCTATTGCTCTTTCCCGTGTTACGGCTCTGTAACTGAGCCTAACTGTGGTAAAGCATGTTTTAAGTGTCAGAATTGTCGACAGCAAGGGTATCACGGACTCCTCAACTATCTTCTGTCGGATTGGTTATGTTACGCGTGCCCCATCTCTTCTCTTAACAGGAGATGCTTGACATCTTTGGGTTCCATGGTGCCTGTGAACTTGGCGGCGAGATCGTTTGATTTCAAGTGTTTTTCTTGCATCTACTATTTTACACTGCTTTCGGACAACACAAAGACCATCCAGATTAAATTTCCGAATGGAAATGGCGTTTCTTTATTTATCTTCGTGGATCGCTGACCACGTTGGTCATATTACCAATGAACATGTTAATGGAAGCTAGCGTTAAAGCACGCATTTAAGATCGAAGACCCCCATTGCCCGTTAATTTGGTCGAGTGTGATCAACACCCACGTAACCCATACTTATGCTACAAACGGGTATATTTAGCGTTAAACCTCCATCTCAAAATACTTCGTGAGCTTTGTGCTCCGACTGAAATGTTTAGCTAGCATGCTAAATTTGTACGCTTACTGCAGTTTGTCCCCGTGATTTCTCGCAGCACTTTTGCAAGCAAAGTCTTTTCCCTCTCCAATCCACTTTCGTCAGCTCATTGCGTATCCGTTTCCCTCTCTTTTCAGGTCTCGAGCCCTCTGTGTTCCGTGCACATCGGCAAGTGCTTCGAATATTCTACTCACCCCCACCCACACCACTGGACTCACTGGGTCCATCCATTGTGAATCCTCCACAGCCTTCAGATATATCACCTGGGAACAGCGACTCGCGAGCCGAAGTAAAAACTTCACAAACCAAGATACGACCACAGCGGGTACGTGTGATTTTTCACTCGGCTGTTTCTCACTTTTCATTTTCTCCATGGTAGTTTGAGAGCTTCTCCTTACTACCTAGTTTCTATCGATAGTATGTTATTTCACCATCTACTCCCATATCTCTCTAACTAGTGTTATCCCAATCCATCGTTTGATTCAGTATGCTCATTGTTGACAGCAATATCCCCCTAGTATGGAGGATGCTATTTACCCGGCTGGACAGTTCGTTAACCAGACCATTCAGCACAGTCAGTGTGCAACTTCCACCATAACGATTGATTGCCTGCGAGCGCGCATCATCGTCTGACGCACCTACAGATTGCATGAGCGGAAACCAGCTGTCGCACTTGTCTCATTTCTTTTAACTTTTTTCTTTCTTTCTTTCTTTTAACTCATTTGGTGTCAGGAGCAATTGTCCCCTAGTTTTAAAATACATATAAACGAGGTAACAGTAAGAGCCATTCTCGACGAGGAGGAGGCGGCCTCCAAAACCTGAAGACCCCGAGAATCTTCTGGTCCTTTTGCCAGCAATCATAACGGCGGATCACTGCTCACACCGGGTGACATCATTGTGTCCGCAACAATGAAATGTGTCAGTCTGTTAAGGCAGAAGGAGTTGCTTTGAGTCTACACGTTGCCGCACACCGTCTCATAATTTTCGCAGAATCTAAGGTGGCTTCAACTTTAAGGTTGCATTCCGACCAAGACCGGTCTCCCCTCCAAACTGTAGTCCACGCACCCGATCTTGCGTTTAGTTCAAAACCTTACAGAACGCCACTCGGAAAGACATCAGTCGGACCGCATATTTGCGTTTTGCGGGACATAGTCGCCTACTGCGTTGTGCAGTGAAATCCGCAAGAATGCCGCCTTATCTTCCCACAATGGCCGTCTGTGATTGTGCAGTATGGATAAACTGTAAGCACCCTGATCCTGAACACTTGCGAGACATATCCTCGGGTTAAGTCTGTATCTAATCAGAGCGTGGAAAGCGAGGCGGACCACCAGCATCGAGTCTGGAGCTCAATGATTTCATTTTCTACTGCTGAATTAATGGTTGCTCGCTTGCAACAGCACACTATTCCAGAAGCAAAGAACCAAACACGGTCTTCCTCGGTACGTTTTCACTTACCTCATGATAACCTCAAACTGCTTGATCTCGCTCCTCCCCTGCATTTTTTTGTGATCACGTATCCCCACTAATGCGTGGTTGGAACCCGGCAGTGCGGAGCTTGGCTCAATACCCGCTTTTTCCATCGATTTGATCGACCGGAGCGATCAACAAGCTTGCACATACTTTCGTAGATACGATTATTTCTTTCTACTAGCACGCGCTGTCGGTCCTATGAAACCGAGTTGGGCGAAGTACATTGGGCAATCTTCATCCGTACCCCGTGTCTTCTGATTTCCCAAACTTCAGTTTTAGGTGATCATTATCATCTTTACTCCCATCCTCTGCTCTACTCTATTATCCAATACTTCTCATATTTTAGACAGAGCTGTAAATCAAAGTTATGCCTAACCTCTTCTTGAAATTCACCTACACTGTTGTGGATTACATTCACAGTCTCTGCTTTCATTTGTTGAATCCACTTTTTGTCACTAGCCTGCTGCAAAGTCGGACTCCGAAACACTCGACTCACATATGGCAGCCGATATGATGCGCCAGTTCTCCTCAGACCTCGAATTGTCGGATGCGCGTCCCCTGTGCACAGATGATCTTCACCTGACATCCACAGCACCATCGGATACTCATCCCTCCGAGAACGTTCATCCCACGTCGATCCGAAGGTCCAGTTTGAAGAGGAGGCCACCTCGTGGCCCTCTACGATTGTCCAGACCAGGCACCACACGACAACACTTTTTGGCCTTCGTTCAACCCAATGTGCGCCTCTTCAACACCTTGTTGATTCCCGTTCCTCCTGGCGATGAGTCATTACAAGCGCTCAACGTGGTGGCTGCCATGATCTTGGTGTCCGTTCGGTCCGTTGGTGAGTTTCATCCGTTTCGAAACCACATGTTCAGCACGGAGAGAAGACAACTTCAATATTCTAGGGGAGTTGAATGGTAATTAATGTGCAAACCAAACTGCTTATAGTGGCAAAAGTTAATTGGTAACTGTTACGCTGAGCCGAAATCAGAAAAGCACGGTTGCTTAACAAATGGCGGGAACACTAAAAGCGAAATTCCGCGCAGGCGAAAGGCGAGTCCCATTGGCGCTGATTCACAAGCACCAATCAGTAGCTATGCCGGACTGCCAATAGCCGGCCGCACACACAAACGACATGTATTTGACACAGCGTATCATTTCTTCCCTCTGTGGTCTGAACCATCTTGTCTGGAATGGATCCACTGTCGCCGTTGGTAGGTGAAGCGATGTAGAGACTTTTGCAGTGGTGATTCAGGGTCGGCTACATGTGAATACATTAGCAGCAGTGTTTGCACTTCCGATTCACCGTTTGTACCCGAGGTCGACGGTCTCAGTTGCACGTAGTCAAACTGGCCTCTGACAATTCTGCCATCCTCAGTTTCTGCTACAACCATTCGCCCGTTGGCTGTTTTAACACGGCTAGTTGCTGTTGTGCCGCCGCGGACTGTTCGCACCCCACAACCGCAAAGAGAAGGAAGACAAGGCATGAGAAAGCTGCTTCATTTAAACAGGGTACAGCAATAGTTGTAGCAAGGCTACAAACACATTCGAGCCATTTATCAACATAGGTGACACCGAGTAATACGGGCCAATGGTAAGTGGTAAATGAAAGAGCCAATCACGCGAGTTCAAGGAAACGGTATCGGCGGAAATGGGCCTCTGAAGTGGCATCCATTACGAATTATGTAGGTCGGCCAATCAAAACGAAGGGATGCTGCTTTTAAACAAATTTCAAGAAACAAACAGTGGCGAAACGAAAGCCGGCAAGTAATAACTGTGACAAAATATATGTCCGGGGAGCATCTGTAGGCAACGGACATCGATGGGATCCGATACTTCTACGAGTCTATCACTGCTGCCGGTATGAGAGCGTACTTTGCCGGTTCTTGTTTCTCGCCAACATCAGACCCAAGGATGCCGTGCAATAAATCCAACCGTGTACTAAACCGCCGGCCTAACATTATTTCCACGAGGCTTCTACCGGTAGTTTCGTTTTTCGTGTCTCGGTAAACGAAAAGGGCGTGCTCTAGGCACATACGCAGCGGTGCTGATGGATGGCTCAGTAGCATGTTCTTAGCTGTCTGCATAACTCTCTGCTAAAACGTTTGATGATAGCTGATAAGGCGTAGTAGTTACATGTCTAAGGCAGAAAATTCCGTACTAGTGAATAATGTTCCATTATTCGACACTAGTGTTTCCGGAAGACCGAAGATCATAACCGTCGTGCACAGTTTAACAATTGTGTTAGCTGAATTTGCTGTAGTCAGGACGTGGGCGTCAATCCACTTGGAATGGTCATCAATAATCTCATCTGACCTTCGAAAGGGCCGAAAAAGTCTATATGGACACGTTTCCATGGTGCTACTTGCCATTTCTATGGCTGCATTGGCACAGCGTTCCAACTCTACTAACAACGCACGCAACCTTCAACTTTCGATAAAATGTCCCTGTCTAAATCAGGCCGCCATACGTCGAAGCGAGTAAGCGGTTACATTTCAATGATTCCAGTGTGTGCATCATACAGTTATTACAAGATAACTGATCGCAGCTTCTTGGGGACTACAACCCGTGCACCCCACAGTATACATTCATTGTGAAGACTGAGTTCGATCAATCTGTTACGGAAATGTATGAATCCTTTGGCTGTATTTTCTGGCCACCCGAACTAAACGTAGCGTTTCACTAGTGCTAAAATAGGGTCTGTTGAAGCATTTGGAGGATTGTTTAGATGCTGGACCACATTCACGAGTTCCTGTGGGGCAAATTATCCTGTGTCGATTTCCGGTAAAAGAAGCCAATTAAGGGCATCAGCAGTGATATTTTGCCGGCCAAGGACGTTTTGCATTTGGTATATGCAGAGAATCAGGAACCAACGGACCATTCTAGTTGAGACCATTTGCTCAATCATTTTTTCATGGCCACAACGTGATTCCACAGGTTTCTGATCCCTTCCGGGTTTCATCTGTTCGTCAAGCTTCGTAATTAGTTTCCAAACGTTTCACCACCAAACGAAGTGACTTTCGCAGTACGCTACTGGGTCTAATGCAGTCCACTGATTTGGTCGTCAATTTGTGATCGACCAGCAAATGAGTTTTGAATTGACCTCCTCGATATGCCCTGTGATCTCCGCCGGTTTGCTCAAGGTCTCTGATCGACACGGACGATCCGTGAGATGGTTTTGCCCTGTCTGTTGCGGTTTTGCTATTATTGGTTTGTTCGGCTCCCCAGGACGATATTCAAGCTGTTTTAGCTTTCTCCATCTTAACGTTTGGTAAACTGGGTCAATATCGATGTGCATGTTTAACCACTTCTTCGTCGAGTACCCTGCTTCGAGAAACTCTTTTCCTTTTCGTGTTTCTCCTTGTGCTAGGACCTCGGTGCTGTTTCAATTGAGGCGATGTCCTTCTTCCTCCTTATGTGATGAAAACTGAGAGCGTAGCGCATTCGGATCAATATGGCACTGAGGAAATCATCTCGTTTGGTGGTGAAACCTTTGGAAACCAATTACGAAGCTCGGCGAACAGTTGAAACCCTGAATGATCAACCCGAGCTGTCAGTACATCAAGTCATTTTAAACAATTTCGGACGCTAAACGCTCCGAACTGCCCCCCCCCTCTGGAGGATTTTCCCTGCAGACGCATTCACACGGCAGCAGCTAACTTTCCTTCGCGATGGCTTACGAAATGCTACGCTCCCCCGCAGCGTCAGCTACAGAATTCCAATTAACCATCCACCGGCAAGATCTGTCGTACAACAACTTGGAAAACATGGTGCAGATTATGCTCACTGACATCCACAACCGTATCAAGAAATATTAACCATACATTATCTAACATCCAACCAGTTGTCTGGGAGTTATGAGACAACAGTTTACAAAGCAACTCAGGTTGGCAATAGAATACAGAGTGGAGATTAGTAGGCGAAGAAAACAAGGCATTAAAGAACAAGTTTTTGAAATTGATTCATGACAAATGCGAAGCTACCCACGAAGACTGGATCCGAAATCATCTATCCACTTGGACACTTTCCCTTGCAGAAAAACCAATCCTCATCAAATGACTTGACTACAACTTCAAGAATGCTATTACTACAGTGTTCGTGGCCGGCTTCAAAAGTGCAGTCCAGTCCAGTGTGTTTGGCGATGAGACGCAAAAACACAGAAAGTATACAATCACTCCAGTTGTAGCCGCTAACGGACAGCACAATTCTGACTATCTCAAAAGGAGAGGGATGAAATAAAGCCTTAAAAGCCGATGGATCTATTGTCATTTAATAGAATGCGTCAACGGAGGCAGATTCTGAGTAAAGAATTCTTTTCGGTAATTCTCATCCGACTCAAACATTACATGATGACAAGGTGCTAAATGTGCCGGGTTTGGCTGTGTATTGATCATAATCAGTAAATGGTGTATTTCTCGACATTGCGAGACACAGACTGATTACGTGATCTGATCATGTTTGGCGGCATCCGGTTTCGGATTTGCCTGTCACTGTGGGCAACCACAGGACGCCTGCGCCTACAGAAGGACCGTGGGTGGCTTGCACTGCACCACCCACAGCTCCATCCACACACCCCATATTCAGTGTAAATCCGAAGGAATAAGACCGGGAGGCATGTGGATTGGAGCCACGTTTCATCAACGGAGCCGGCCCACCCTCCTTCACAGGCAAACACAAGCATGCTGTATTTGGGGAAGCAAGCGCACACTAGGCGGTGGCTGGACCGTAGTCCGTTCCACACTGAGTGCATGGAACCACTCTTCGAGCCTAGCACGGCGACAAGGACCGTGCACAACGTCCCCTCCAGCAACGACCAACTGTCTCCTGGAGCCAGTATGGACGAGGTAGTGGGTAATAGACAGGTAGGCACCTTGTCAACATGCACATCAAACGCAGCCACACTGGGGATATCAAGCAACAGCCAATCATATTGTACAACATAATCACATACGGAAGAAAATTGTCTAAGTGTATCAATGTTTTATCTGAAGTGTTGGGCGCTTGCTATCAATTAAAGGTAGTGTAAGAAAGAGTTGATAGTAATAATAATGATAAGTATCCTCATCAGTTCAAGGAAGCAATCCACGGAACCGTCCCCTGGAGACCTGCTTCCATGCGCGGTAATCCCTCGAGAGGTTTCATCCGCAGATAAGTCTTGCTATTTTGACTCGATTCATTTATTCATTTGTTTATTGTTTTTGACTGCAAATATATGCAAAAGGCTCTCATCACATGGACACTTATACTTTTGGTTACTATTACAAGCAAATAGGCCATCAATAAGTTAACTGTTTTTGCGTCTGCCGTGTGCACTTTTGCTGTCATCTCGTCTACGCAATATCTTTTTTCGACAGCTGTATATTTCGAGGCAATCCCGACCGACATACAGTCCATTTCTCTCATGCAGCTATTTCGAGTCAAGCATTTTTAAAATGTGCCAGTGATTATCTGGCAATTTACCTTGCGTGGGTGTACTAGATAGGTAAGAAGCTTCAATCTGTCACCTCAGGTGATCAGTTCGGGAGTGGCCAACAATGATAAAGAAAAAAAAGCAAACAGGAAAATGACTATAGCTGAGAAGAAAGAACGGGAACGATAAAGGAGCGACAGATGGTGGTTCAATTTAAGCTGGACATAGGGATCATAAAAACAAATAAAGATCCGAAATAATCATTTAAATGAGGCTTCTCAGAGGAATAGTGCGATGGCTCCGACAGGTGTAGATGATCGAAAAGGAGAGATTGGCTGCGCAAGTTCATTCTACATTGCGATGACGGGTGATGCGGATACCCAGTTTGTTTTCTCCCCCAAGAAGGATAGAGGACAGTTAGAAGGGTATGA